GCCCAGGCCCGCGGCCGCCCCTGCGCTGCCCCGGCGTCAGGTTACAGGCGGGTGGCGGGCAGGGCTGCGGGGACGGGGTCCCCTCGTTGGCTGAGCCCAGCGCTTCATCTCCCTCCTAGCGAGGAAGTTTTTCCTCCTATCCAGCTGCAACCTCCCTGGCTGCAACTCGAGCCCATTGCTCCTTGCTCTGTGTCTGCCCTCGCTGAGAGCAGTCCAGCTCCATCCTCTTTGCAGCCCGCTGCAGGGAGGTGAAGGCTGCTGCTAAATCCCACCTCGGCCTTCTCTTCTGCCTACTAAGTAAGCCCAGTTCCCGCCGCCTCTCCTCCTAAGTCGTGCTGCAGACCCTGAACCATTTTCCTTGCTCTCGGCTGGACTTGTCTCCAACTTGTCCACGTCCTTTCTGTAGTGGGGGGCCCAAAACTGAACACAGGACGCCAGATGTGGCCTCACCAGTGCTGGAGAGAGAGAGGGGAAGAATTATTTCCCTTGATCTGCTGGCAATGCTCCTACCCACGCAGCCCAGGATGCCGTTAGCCGTTTTGGCAACAAGGGCACACCGCTGGCTCGTAGCCGTCTTACTGTCCGCTGTCACCCCCAGAGCTGCTGCCCAGCCCGTCACCCCCAGCCTGTCCCAGTGCATGGGATTGCTCCGTCCTAAGTGCAGGACTTTGCACGTGTCCTTGTTGAACCGCATGAGATGTCTTTTGGCCCAATCCTCCAATTTGTCAGGGTCACTCCGAATCCTAGTCCAACCCTCCAGCGTATCTACTGCTCCCCGCAGCTTGGTGCCATCTGCAGACTTGCTGAGGGTGCACCCTTTCCATCTTCCAGCCTGGTAATGAAGATATGAAACAAAACCAGCCCCAGAATCTCCGTCCTATGAGGTTTTTAAGGCCCAGCTCGACAAAGCCCTGGCTGGAATGATCTGATTGGGGATGCACCTGCTTTGAGCAGTGGGTTGGGCTGGATGACCTCCTAAGGCCCTTCCAACCTGAATTTTCTATGAGCACAGACAAGGCCCTCAGAGAGCCAGGCAGAGCAGAGGAAGGGCCAGCCACAGCCCCTGGGTTGGAGGCGAGCGCTACCACACTCATTGAGGGGCCTCCAGGTGACTTCATAATCCAGCCCTTGAGCCACAGACCCATCCACAGAAGTTGCAGGCTTTTCTGCGAGGGAGAGTAGGCAGAGGCCGGGATTTTTCTCCTTGTTTTTCCTCCATTCTCTCTTCTCTGCTTTCCTTCAAAATGGGTTGGCGCTTGGGTGAGGTTGCGGCACCATTGGAGCTGGGTTGGCAGCCAGCAGCTCCTCCAGCTCTTGGCATCAGCATGCGTTTTCTTGAGGTCTGCCTTGGATACGTCCTTGTAGCGCTCCCTCTGGCTGCCATGAGAGCTCAGGCTCATTCAAAATGGGTTGGCGCTTGGGTGAGGTTGCGGCACCATTGGAGCTGGGTTGGCAGCCAGCAGCTCCTCCAGCTCTTGGCATCAGCATGCGTTTTCTTGAGGTCTGCCTTGGATACGTCCTTGTAGCGCCATGAGCTGCATGAGAGCCCAGGCTCATACTAAACTGGGGATAGAGCGCTTGTTTTGGGAGTCAGGAGCCAAGTCTCCACACACGGTGTCTGGTCCAGCAAAGCTGGTGCTTGAGGATCCTCGACTGGAGGTTGATAACGTTGGCTTCAGCAAGGATACTGCATTTGTGCTGGCATCTTCCCATTTGATGCAGAGGCTTGGGAATTACCTGGAAGAAAAAGCCCTGCTCGAGGGAACTTGGAGGGATGCAAAACTGTCCCAGGGAAATATTAACAACTTCCTGGCAAAACAAAGAAAAAGCCAAGATGCGCCCAATCCACCCTCATGTGCCCTGCAGGGGCACTCCCAGCCCTCACTTCACTGGCAACCGCTTCTATTAAGTGAGTGGCAAGCAGACTTCCCAGTGGCAACCTGCAAGCAAAGCATCTGTCAGTGAAAGGGTAGGACCAAGAAGTGACGGTGACAAACTCTAACAGGGGACCACCCATAGGAGGCGAGCGGGATTGGTGACCTTTTAGGAGCCACATGATACTACAGGGCTTTAGATCAAGGAAAAAGAAGGCCATTTCGTAACCCATCGAACACCTTGAAATGGAACCTCTCTATATGAGACAAATCACGCTGCCGGTAGCCCTAGATGCCACTCTTTTTAGTGGAGTCCTACTACTATGCCCTGCCCTGTAAAGCTCTGCACTGTTCAGTCTTTACTGAGACATAAGTCCAGACCAATTCATTTTTTGCAGCATGCATCAGGGGTCACCTTGGGGGAATCGCAGTCACAAAGCCGTGTTGCCACCCGTAGGGTGACAGAGGTACCAGGAATTAGCCAGGGTCCACGGTAAGGATACTGCAGAAAGAGACAACCCTTCCCCGCCGCCCACTTAAACCTAATGTATTCTGCTCAGGAAATCTTTTCCTTTTTATAAGGAAACATCTACCCAAGGATTTCTGTATATCCATGTGAGAGCTGGCAAGTAAAAATGCCAGCTCTAAAGACCTATTTTCAGAGGTGGATGAGGTTTATAAATCTCTTCCCTGGCTTACTCGGGAGATGAATTTTCATGAAGCTACTCTAATCCTGTTTAAGCGTTTTTTACAGAATCGTCACACGTTGCAATGCTTTTCCCCCAGCGTTGGTCTGCGCTTGCAGACAGCTGTTGGGATTCCTTTGCAAGTCCTTTCTGCTGACCGCTAGGAAATGACTGCACCGTTTAAAATACCTGCATGGGGACATGCATTCGACCAGAGCCTCGTTGACAGAGAAAACCCAGCAAAATATTGCACGGCCTAGAAAATATTCCATGCTTAATTCAAACTATACAGCACATTCAGGGGCACAGATATGTTCAGTGGACAGGGGAACTGACTGGGGCACAGGACACCTGCAGTCAAGTCTTAGCTCTGCTACTGACCTGCTGTATGTCCTTAGGCAAATCACTTGACCTCTGCATTCATCAGTGTCCCCTCTGCATTTTGTCCATTTGAATCCCAAGCTTTTGTGAGGCAGGACTTCTCCCCTCCAATGGGTTTGTACAGTGCTTAGCACAACAGGGCCCTGATTTTGGCTCTGATGCTGGAGAGAAGGATGTCAACCTTCCTTTAGTACAAAGGCCCCTATCACTAGGGACCTATTCCTGCTCTCTTGGAAATCAGTGGGATCAATAGTAATTGAAGCTGGGATTTTCCAAAGGGGTTGGTGAATTCAGACCCAGATCTTGCTGAAATTGGGTGGGTTTCAGCCCCCCTGCAGATCCTTTGAGAATCAAAGCTTGTTAATGGGTGCAGCATCAGGTCCCAGATTTGCACGTTGGTAAACCAGCAGCGAAATGAACTGGACCTTTAGCTAATAGGAATCTGCAGTGCAATGCAAAGGGCAAGAGCAGACAGCATAAAAAATGGTCCTGCTCGTGCTCATCTGATTGAGCCTGAGCTTGAGCACAAAAGCCTTATTGAGATAACTTCATTAGTGTAATGAGGGGAAAGCAAAAGGGGACACTTGGCTGAGTCCATGTGGCATCAGAAATCAGGCTCGGTACCTCTTATAGGGGAGGAGGGGATGGAAGGAAGTCGTGAGCGCGTTTGTGCCAGTTTTCTGCCACTTGCTGTCAGTCACCCACAGCTGCCTTTGCTTCATGGCTCTCTGTCAGCTTGGCTTCATCTTCCCGCAGCAGAAGTGAACTGACATGCAGAGGAGCCCAGCAAATTGGCAGGATCTTGGAAATGGCATAAGTTGCTCCAGATTTGCAGCTCGGCCGACCCTTGCAGCTGCGGGGCATATATTGGAGCAGAAAGCAGGTCCCCAGAAGGATGGAGCCGACAGAGCCCAATCCTCCTTCTGCTCCACTGCTGCCTGCACACAAGTGTCCTCCTCTCAGATCTGCCACCCCCAGGGTAAGCGTGGAGAGTTAGTAAGCAGGGCAGATGCATCTCACCAGAGCGGACCGGAGTGAGACACAAAATGAATGAGCCTCCCTTTAAAAGGAGCACTAAGGCTAAAATTTGCAGCCAGGAGAGCCCACGGCTTGGCTCCTAACTCCATAGGTTGGTGCCTACTATAGAAGCAACCCTGATTTCAAAGGCAGGTACTGAGAACTTGCAGCTCCCAGCAACACTGGGCTGATGAGTGGATGCTCAGATGACGCTCCTCTGTAGAAGTGCCTACGTCTGGATTTCAGAGCCTAGCTTTAAGCACCCAGCCTGAATCCAGAAGCTGCTGTGCTCCAGTGAGCATTTCTAAACCACCAGCAGCCATGGGCCCTGGGGGCAGCTGGGTGGAGAGAGGGACTGGATCCTGTCATACATGTGAAGCTTTGCGGCACAGCCCAGAAAGCTTGTGGGACCTCCATCCCTGGAAGTTTTTAAGAGCAGTTTGGATAGGCAGGGATGATTTAGATAGGGATGACCCTGCCTTGATTAAGGGTTGATTTAGATATGACCTCCTGAGCTCCCTGCCAGCCGTTTTCCTATGAGACCATATTTATCCCAGGTTTTGAAGCCCTGAGGTTCTTTGAACTGAAGATCCTGATTGTTAGGGGCTGCTAGGCTGTATCATGCAGGAGGGGCCAGAGAGGGTGTCCACATGGACCTTTTGGATCAGCCATCCATTTTGTGGCAGAAACTGGACTCGATGGGCCAGAGGGTCCCTGCCACTGCTGTGCTCCCAGGACTGCTCAGGTGCCGTCTCCGCTCTCAGGCCAGAGCTCCCACCGCTGGCAGCATCCTCACCAGCCTCCCAATATAATCTTTGCACTGTTTTTTTTAAGTTACTCGTGATCTCAAGAACAAG